ATTATTATTGTCTGGGGTGATCTGCATGGCTCTATTGACAGCTGCACATGTAGACTCACTACTTTTCACAGACAGTATATGGACCATATCTATTAGTCACACATCTGTTAACTACGTTAATATGGACCTATATAGGTTCTATTGTTGTTGTCTTTGGCATATTGTAGGACATTTTTGACACTTTTGGTCAGGACAAAAAGTTGTTGTCGATTTTTACAAAGCTTCTCATGTATTTTGATTTTTTGATATTGTATTATGTGCTTCATGATTTTCTATTTTTCTATTATACTTAGACTATTTTTCTATTATATCTAGACTATTCGATGTATTATTTATGAATGGTCTGTATTTGTACCTTTGTAATGCTGTCAATCGGAACCAGCTGGCTTCTGCTAAAAGGGTGACACACCCACAAACCATTTAACGCTGAGGACGGCTATGAGCTGAAACGCGTCCGTTTATCTGCTGCTGTGCAGTTTATCAAATTAAAAGTGTCACACTTATAAGTGAGTGCTGTCAGGTTTTGTACTTTTCTGTGGATTGTTTGGGACCGGCACCCTATTACTTTTGAGACTTTTTGAGTGAGCAAGCCAAGTCTGCTGATTACGATGGTTCTACTGGTACCATCCACAACTTTTCATAATGGAAACGGAAAAGTAATTGTTTTAATACGTACCGTGTACTGAACTGAACTGAACTGGACTGGACTGCTTGGTGGAAATGAGGATGAAGTATCCTTATATTATCGAATCAGGAGGTAAGCATATCATCCCAGCCCTAATGGAATGACTTACACAACACTGCAGTTTACTTCTGAGGATTTAATAAGCTTGCCTGCAAGCTAAATAGAACAGATGTTTTGTATGAACATATAAAAGTATAAGGCATAATGGAAAACAAATACAACAGCAATGACAGGCACACCTATCCAAATCCTGCCACTGCTGCATCGAAAGGCTAACAAAGCCTGAACCACTGAAACTGCTGTGACAAGTATCACAACTAGAGGCAAACCAATGAATGCATAGATCACAGCTTATCATCAGTATCACCGCATACACCAGCTGATAAGTAACAAGACATCACAGAAAATGCCCAAGATATGTCTGAGGTCATTTACAAACAGTCTTGCCATTACACAGTTTAACCATCAGAGAGGCAAGGCAAGGTCAAATTTATTTATATAGCACCTTATCATATACGTAGGTTATTCAAAGTGCTTAACAGGCAGAAGATAAGAAAAACATATTTATAAGATAAATAAAAGTAAATGAAAGTTTGACTTTAGTACAGACGAGTTTAAAAACTAAATTGACGATAAATATAAAAAAGTGCCATAAAAACTGATGAATAAACAGCTGTGGAGAATAGAGACGTCTTAAGGTTCGTTTTAAAAATAGCTACAGTCTGGGCATATTTTAGTTCCACAGGGAGCTGATCACAGCAGTGGGCAGCATAATGGCTAAAAGCTGATGACAGATAAAATTTCCACTCAGTCCATATCTCGGTCACAATTCTTCACAAAAAAAAAAAAAAAAAACTTGTTTAGGGGTTCTGTTTGTTGTGTTTTAGAAATATCAGTACTGTACAATTTCTCATTATCGTATGTTTTAAACTTTAAAATATCAATACTTGTATTTGTCTCAGCAATCCAGCATCAGTTTGGCTACAACCACAGCGCTCACTGTTAACAACCTGTGAACAACCTAAAAAAAATAAATAAAATAACCCAGACCCACAATCTGCAGCTTGCTAGTAACTGCTGTGTGAAACATTCAATTTTTCAGGTTTGTTTTTTGCCTTAGTGTTCCAATTTGTCTGCCATTACTGCACCCTTTGCTGGTAATGATCTAATAATAATAATAATAATAATAATACTTTATTCTTGAAGTTGCTGGGCCCCTAATGACAATCCTTCTTGGTTAGTGCCTTTTTCACCCCTTCAATTCATATTTCTTTAAATGTGTGTGTATCTTTAAGAAGGCAGGGTGTTTCTACAGACCCACAGAGACAAATTTACACAGTGATCCAGTCACTTTATACATCTTGTGTAACTACCAGTAAATTCAGCAGTCAAAAACAGGAGAAACAAAAGGTGACAGTGAAGTGTGATGCTTTCCTACAGCTTCCTAGTGACTTACTGTTTAGGAGCAAGTCAAGTAGCTTGTGTCTTACCTCCATGTTCAGCAAACTTTGGGTTGCCCAGGATCTGTTTGCAGAACTTCAGGCCATTCCTGTACTGCTTGTGTTCATAGCATCTCTGCAACAAAAGACAGAGCAGACTTTACATCAGGCATCTGAGGCCAACTGCCTGCCATTCTCCTGTTACACTAATCCTCAGAGGTTAAAGTGCACAAAAATGACATTATTGCAAGAGCTGAATGCAAAAGCTGTGTTCCAGCAATCAGCAAATATAACTGGTCCTTCCTGCTACCAGCAAGCAAAGCATCGCATACACCAAACATTGCCTTCTTGGCAGTCCAGTCAGCGTGATATTGTAGCGCTGAAGAAACAGCTTTTGATACAGCCTTGATGATGGAGGGCTGTGGATGAAATGTGATGAAATCATGCCAACTCCCACAGCAACATATGTACTCAGGTCCTGACTGACAAAAGGAAGGAACACAAACCTAGTACGCAACAGTGGTTTATGCGTTATTAGTAGTATACATTATTAGTATTATGTGGCAGAAGATAGCTACCATGACTTACAGGAATAGCATTTTATTTAAAGTGGGTCTGTATGGGGTACTTCCACTATCCATAGTCAGTGTATCACATAATGTAGGTGTCAGCCAGCACGCCCCCAATTTAGAGAAGCAGGAAGTCTGACATGGAAGCTAAGCACTATACTGTTGTGGAGGGGTCAACAACACAACAAATTTTAGTCACCTAAAATAAGTCCCACCTAAAAAAATCTTTAACAATTTAAGTGTACACTATATTGAGAGTATTTTCACTGTTACACCTTTTCGTCAGACAGCATGTTTCGATGGGGAAGCTCTTAATGGCTTCAGTTTCCTTATCTATGCTCTTCTCAATGCCACAACTTAGTAAAACAGTAATTTTATCTCAGTGACAACAGGAGCTTCTAGTCTATTGCTGATTCCATCAGTTAGTTAGTTTGTGTTATTGTGTGATTTTGGTGACCCTGAACGAACTCTTCTTAACACCAAAGTCACACAACAGCACAAACTAACTCACTGATGGTGCAGTGACAGGCCAGCAGCAAGCTAAAATTACTGCTTTCTCAGTGTAGTCTGGCTTGCAGAAAGTGATAAAACAGTTTCACTTGAATTTAAGGTAAAGCACTGAAAAGACCCGATATTGCATAGACTTAAACTGATTTTTTAGGTGGTTTAAATATATATATTTTGTTGCTGACCCCCATCTACAGCAGTGTGTTGCTTAGAGCTTCCATGTTGGACTCCTGTCTGTTTCTCCAAACTGGAGGCATGCTGACTGACATTTACTGCGGGTAATGCACTGTACCTGGTTAAGTATCTTATACAACATCACTTCAAAAAAATCTGAACTACCCCTTTAATATTTGTAAATAACACTTGGCTAACAGTCGTTGAATACATGCCGATTTTAAATGTGCAATGTACATGACTCGAATTTCCTCGTCAGCCTTATGTTATAAAGAAGCTAAAGTAAGCTTACTATTGAATTTCCAAACTACTGAATGAAATTTGTCTCGCGGTAACATTACGTGCCGAACTGAACTGCTCCAACTAACGACAACTATATTGGCCGCATATGCAAGAAAAATGTTGCTAAACTTTATTAACAGTACAGAGGAAAACGTTTCCAAACTGCAACTCGTAACGACAAAGCTAACCTTAACTATGCAGCTAAGTTGTGTATAGCTGTCATGTGTCAAGCAGCTTTGTCATTGGTATACTTTGGATATGTTGCAAGGCCAAAGCATAGCTAAAACACCACACGACTGGTTGCTAGCTCACTATGCCTTTTCCTTACTTGCACTGTTATAACTACTTATTGTTAACAGAGGCATGATGAAATACAGTGCGTTTGGTGTACTGCATCTTTTGGTTTAATCACTAGCGACTCCCTAGCTACTTGCTCTGACTGCTACAACTGACGGCTACTTGGCAAACTAGCATTAGCCAGTAAGCTAACGCTATCTCAGGCATTTAGCCTACCAATATTCTCTTGAAGAGAGCATTCTCCTTCGGCGGTAGAGTGATTGTGGGCATTGTGTTGGCTTCCTATGCCTCTGTCGGTTCACACATGAATAGTATCCTCCTGGAGTCAGAGATCCTGGACTGTTTTAGTCTCTTCAGGCTCCTATCTCTCACGTGTTGAAGCCGAGGCCCCCTTCCGAGCAAAATGGCCGATGTGCTTCTCCTCCGGGTCAGGCTGCTCTCTGAGTCTGCGTGTCAAACACGGGCCAGCAGGGCCGAGGTGTTTCACTGACTGTGGTATTTTAACAAGCATGACATGACACGGAGTGTTATTTGATTATACAAAAATATTTTCGGATATATTACAAGATAAAACCATATTTCATATGTTTAAATTACAGTTTGTCAGTACGCTCCTCTGCCCGGTGCACTGGTTGTTTTGAACGTTGCTAACCAAACTCCATTGAAATTTCTGTAAATTTAACACTGCATTGCTTTTCGGTAAATGATCACATTTGCTAGAATATTATTTGGGCAGGTTGTAAAACAGATTACTCAGCAAGGAACATTTTGTTTCATTAAAATATGTTCTTAGAATGGAGACAAGGTATGTAAAAAAACATGATTCATTTTCCAATTACATTAATTTGGTGCAATACAAATCAGAAACCCCATAAGAAGATGAATAAGATTTTGTAACGCGAATGATGCTAAACTGGATTATGGAGCTATATTCGCTTTAAAATAATATAATCCAGGATCCGGTAAATTTTAAATTACAAATCTTATTTAATAAACGGGGAGATTCTCTTGAGTGTTCGAGCGACTTATCGGCGATCATCTACTCAGTCCTTCCAGGAAGTTTAATCAACCGTAGTTCGGCAGGATCGCACAACAGATGAAGGTAGCTGTCCCTCAGCTAAAATGACTTTCCACCAGTTATTTTCTAGAGCAGCTCTCGTCAGCAAAGGTAAGATTTGTGGTGTAATGGCAATAAATTAATGTTCATAATTTTGAAACACCTTTTTTTTTATCTTGCTATTTACAACACGTACGCTGTATTTATTTTGAAGCCTGACCTTAGCTTAGCTTAGCATTCATGAAGCACTGCAGTCACCTAGGCGTTCTCCCATAAAGTTAACGTTATGTATCTTATGGCAGTGTTAGTTAACGTAATGCTTTCCAAATTGTTTACCTAATCGTTTGCCAATAGTATGTTAGACTGTTTATTTAGTTTAACAGTAAGGATTGTACACCTATTTTTTACCAACGTAATACTACTCCTATGTATGACGGGCCCGTGCAATTATGATGCTGCCCTGCTTATTAGAAACCTACATTTTCAGAAAGACTTATTTTTTCACCCTTTAGTGTGAGTAGGGACTATTCTTCAATTCGGCACAATTTTAGTAACCAGACAGTCCATAATTAGATCCACAGTCTGCTTCCACCAAAACATACAATGGCACACAGAGAGCACTCTAAACCAATTCTAATACATTAATAAACCGCATTATTGAAATTGATTGTGGTCAGGCGAATAACAAGGGCTTATAAATGGTGTCAAGTCGTTTCTCGTAGGTTGGCAAGGGTTCATTCTGACACTTATAATTATACCTCCCCTCTGTTTCAAGTAGTGACTGCCAATGCCAAAACAAAGCCCTTTTTTCAGTGTGGTTGTTTTTGTTAGTTTTTACAGTTGGATCCAGGTCTGCATTCACAAGCTCCAAGCCTGACATTGCTAATCCCAACTGGTTAAGAGTGGGCCTTGCCTTCGGATCATCTGTTTTCCTCTGGGGCCTGGTAAATGACCACATCACTTCACACAGAACATTTTAATAACATATTTAATCTATAAAACTGATCATTTGTAGTTAGAGTGCAATGGTTTGTTCACACAGGGTTTCTTTTACCCAGTGAGTTTATTACTGCCTCTTTGTATGGAGGCCAAACTCTGTCCATACACCAATGCAGTTTATGTCATTGGCTAACCTATCACGAAATGTGTACATGTGTTCCAGCAAAATTAAATACCTTTTTTTCCAAATCTTAGAACCATTTAGCAATTAGGTAAAGTTTGATCACTGAGCACTTGGTCCACCATTCAGCATTAACTGTATCTCAAAGTGCATGCCATTATTTTATCCAGAAGAGGGCAGCAATGAGCAGCAAGCTATTTTTATTTTAAAAGGGTATTTCACGTATTGTCTGTATGTGTTAAATGGTCTTTGAATGGCAGAGCCATGTTAAAAGTCCTTAATTTTTTTTACAACATTTGGTGTGATATTATCTTTATAAAAGGAGAGTTCCTTAGCTGTTGCTCCCCAGTCTTAAACTGTTGTTTGGTTCTCTTATCTGTTGTTAAAATATTCCTTTATTTAGTGACAATAAAAAGCTCTCACAAAGTCCTTTGAGTTTCTCTGTATTTATATATATAAACACTCATGTATTTATTGCAGACCTGCCAGAAAGTGAACAATCAGGTAACGGCAGGATGTAGTTGAATATGGAAACTGTTCTGATATCATTTAAATGACTTATAGTATCTGTCTTCCATCTGCAGCTCTTCAAGCAACACAGCACAGATGTACATGAATACAAAGTGAGGAATGGCCTGGAATAACCCATCACACTGGTATGTGAGTGTTTTTTGGTTTAAATGTTACTAAAAATAAATGAAATCAGCATACAGAATATCATTTTGTGATTTGATACCTATATTGTCATATCGCATTATAGGCATTTTGTCGTCCAGTGTGAAGATCTATAAATGGAGGAAGAAATGAAATGTGACACTCTGTTATTTCTTGTCCTGTGTAGGAGGTCCGCAGGTCCTGTTTGTAGGATGCACCTGTTTGTCCACTTCTTTCTATTTCCACTGTTCCCCATTCCTCCCTCTCAATTCTGTGTAAAATAAAAAATATGTCAAGTGTAACATACTTGAGTCATGATCATTTTGTTCACATGCATTCACAGTTGCTGTGGTGCTGATATTGAACAGTATATTAATGAATGAAATGTTTGAGATACTTCCTGTCAGTGTATAGCCATCAAATGACATCAGCATCACTTGTCTTCTGGTACTAGTTAAAATTTTGTCAGTTAACTTTTTGTAACAGTTCTGTCATTTCAACCATAATCAACATTAGTAATTATGGTACATAATGTGTTTTTGCAAACCCTGGACAGGGCCCCAGTCTGTTTCCAGTCTTAATACATGGATAACTGAATCATCAGATTAGAGTGTTGCCAATTTCACGCAAGTCTGGATTTTTTTTGGTTCTTCTAAGCTGGTTTAAAATGAATCTGGAACTGTTGTCAGAACAAGTCCTTAAGCCCGAACCTACAAAAATGAAGACTTCTTGACAGTTAGCTCAGTACCAAGGCATTTTAGGGAGAAACCCTACATGAAGTATTTTCAGTTACAGATGTCTTGCTTTCTCAGAGTTACAACAATCAGCCAAAACTTTATAACTTTATAACTAACAGGTTAAGTGATTAACATCGATCATTTTGTTACAATGCAATGTCCTTGGTCCTGGCATTCGTGTGGATGCCACCTGACAAGCTCTGCCCACCCAACCACCATTGCAGACCAAGTACCCCTCCCTTAGTGCAATGGCGCTCCCTGATGACATTGCCCCCCCTGCAGGACAATGCACCAATCTACACTGCAAAAACTGTTCAGGAATTGCTTGGGGAACGTGACAAAGACCTCACCGTAGACCTGGCCTTCAAATTTCCCAGATTTCAATCCATTACAGTATCCTTGGGACGTGCTGGTACCACACTTTGCAACCCACAAGACTCAAAAGATGGCCACTAATGCACTGCCGCCAGACACCACAAGACACCCCCAGAGGGCCTGTGTCCAAGTTTTGACAGGTCAGAGCCAGGATCTGGGGAATTTTGAGGCCAGGTTGACACCTCGAGCTCTTTTTCATTTTCCTTGGTCCATTTCTGAACAGTTCTCGCAGTGTGGTGCAGTGTTCTGCTAGGGAGGTTACCCATATTAGACGATAACATAATGCAAAAAAATTGTTCATGCAAGTAAAAATTATTTTTTAAGAGATAAAATAGAGGTTCCATTTTTGTAGATGTGGTAATGACATGAACAGATCATTTCTCCGTAATCAGCATGTTCTCATCTGTAATATGTATAAGTATAATTATATCAACACTCATGTCATTATAAATCCAAAAAGGCATTTCTATCTGAAAAAGACATTAATTAGGCATTAACTGTGTTGTGTGCGACCTTCAGTGCTTTACTTTTAGGTGACAGTTGTAGTGCAAAGGGTGGGGCAGATGAAAGTCACCATGATAGGTGATATGGAGGGTGATCAGTGCCATTAAAGAGGAAAGTGTCAGGAATTGGCCTGCTTCCTAAGAGTACAGTGCAGTTGTCGAAGTGGATATAGCAAGTCTTATACTTTCTGTTTTTTGAAGGTATTTATTTTTGTTACAAGATTACATTACATACTAGTTTTAATGAGGTTTTAAGCATGTGGTGTGCGTGTGAGGAGCATATAACTAAGAGCCTGTGAACCACACATGCTGCTTTGTAAAGGGCTGATGATGGTTTCCACAAATCCACTCATTAATGATGATGTCTTTCAGAATGTAAAAATGAATTTAGAGGCTTGAGGTTTAGTTTTACGGTTTCATTTCAATAACTTCATTTTAAAATGTTTTAGGCTTATGTCATTGTTTGTACATCAGGTGTTTAAAAATGTATCTGTCCCAAGTGTATTTATTTAAATGTTTTCTTATATTTAAATATCTTTAGGAAAGTATTTTTCCATAATCAAAATTGTGTGTGTGTGTGTGTGTGGGGGGGGGGGGGGGGGCTTGTTTATTTGTTTTGTGTGCTACAGCATACATATCTGCTCTTGAAACACTTGCTCCCTGTCACAAGGACCTAGGACCTAGCCTGTGTCTCTGTGGCGAATAGGGTTGAGCCAAATACTCCAATAAAATAAGTATCAGGTACCATTAATGTACTTTGTACAAGTGCAAGTATCATCTGAGTGAAATACGTCAATACCCATCCTCATCATGATGAAGGAAAATCCTCATTAAGGTAGCTGTGTTCAATCTCTTAGGCCTACTTTTGTGACCAAAAAGATTTGAAGCTCAATCCTGGCATTGTTCTGTAGCCTATGTAGTTTTATAAGTGAAAAAAAAATGTATATATATAAACATCAACAGGCTTAAAAGACCTTCTGTTCAGCCCCACTCATTTCTGGTTTAAACTCCACCCATTCTGAGCACAGATACGAATACAGATAATAGAGTGCTCCAGGAATGATGTTTTTCTGAAGGCTAACACGGAAGTTAGCATCGCCCTGGTTCCCTCGGCAAAAACCAATTGGGTTTTTTTTTCTATCGGATTTTGAATTATTGCAGAAAATTAACGCTGTGGCAAACAAACTTTTATGATAGTTATGTTCAGCACAATAATCTTCACAAATGAACACCAGTTTTATGATTTTTGAAGCCTAAATTCAACCAACAGAAGTAAAAAGCTAACGTTAGGTTATAAACAAAGTACACCATGTTGCATGACTGGAATGTTGCCTCTACAACCAGGCTTTAAAGCTGTGTTTGGCATGATAACATTCTCTAGTCTCCTGTAGTAACTTATCAGCAACCACCTTTTAAAGACACATAGAGGCTTCAAAATTAACAGTGGGGTATTTACAGTTGTATTTTATATCATGAAACAAAATGTGAAAGTCTCTTAAGCTTGTGTTAACCACCATCTAAACAAAAACCTGTTCAAAAAAACATTGACTTCATTACAAGCGAACCAGGAGTGCAGAAATGCTAACTCATTTCCGGGTTTTAGCACTTATTCCTGGGGCACTCTATACTGTCACACACCAAACAAGTCAGTGTCGTCTAGCTGTTGAACAAGTCACTGTTCCATGTTTTCCCTCCATCCATGCATTTTATAATATTCAACTCTTTCAGCGGACACAGCATAAACTGTGTCTCCTCGTTCATCCTAAAATGCATGACCCTGGATGTAGATTTCGCCATGTTCTTACTGGCTTCTTCTTCTGTTACACATTTAATGCTATTCGACTTCTGGGTCAAAGCCCAGGGTGGAAACTGTGGAGCATGTGCAGAGCGCCAAGGTCAGTTTGGCTCCGATTGACTGTATACATGCAGGAGGAATCACATTATCTGGGTGTGTTAGTCTGACTTTGAGAAATTCAATTTAGTACAATTTCATTCAAACTAACATGTTCACATGTATTTTTAAAGTCTGGTTTTAGTCAGACTAACACAATAAATCAGTTTTCTCTAATGTCATGTAAACGTTCAGCCTAACCCACTTCTGGTTTAAACTCAGTCTATTCTGTCCTATACTGATATAGATATGTGTAGTTAGTTATAATGTGATGGTTATACAGATACAGTTAATGGTGTACTTACTCATCCCTAGTGGCAACCCCTAAATTATTGCTTTGCTGTAATTAGTTCTCACAAATCCCCCTTTCCCTGCGGAACTGATCACCCCTCTTTAAACATCCTCCTTTGTTTCTGTGGCTTTAGCCACTATTCTCATAAATTCAACCTCCCTCTCTTCTGGGGTGTTAACAATTCCTCATACATGTCATCTTCCGTTTTTCTGTCTGTGGCATTAATCACCCTTCATACAACAGCGCCGCACGACATATATTGCGCAACAGAGGCGATTTCTGGCCTCCGCCTCCTCGCACGCTTCTCTAACCAGACCAGACCAGCCAGCCATTCATCCAGCGTTTGCTGAAACTGCAGCATTCCCACAGAAGCCCTCGGAGAGCAGCGATGTTTTCCTGCAGAGCGGCCTGGCAAAGGTGTGGGCCTGTGGCGCGGAGAGCAGCCTACAGGTTGCCCAGGGATGGTGAGTTTCATCAGCCTGGCATTGTAATAAAATACAACCTCAGTTATACGAAGAATTTACTCGTTTTCCCAACATCCCCGTGCTTAACGTTAAAAGTGACGTGTTCTCTTTGTCATCTATCGCCTCTCCACTTAAATCGGTGGAGTAGTACATTTTGTCCTCGTGTGAATTTCTCTGCATAGCCGCATCAAGCTGGAGAATCTGTGGCTTCCCGTGGGATGTGAAGGTCAACTCGTTTTTTTTTTTGCTGAAGCTGGGCTAAAATGTGTTTGTGGTGCATTGTGGTCTCTCTTATTTGAGTGGTGTTATTCGTTAGGACACAAGTGTATGTTTCTCCTCATTGAGATGGGGGCATACTCTGAGCCTCTGAGTATTTTTTAATGACACTAAACACACTGTGCCAGAGTATTACGCAGGGAAGCAGTCTGCCACATCAGATCTGTTAGTTAATCCGTTGTTTGCCAGCTTGTTTCCATTCTTTATATACGACACGTGCTCCGGTTCTTACCAGTGTAACGTGGGCTGAACTATTAACACCAATACAAATGAACGAGAGTACAATTTCTCCTCCGTGGAGTTAAGGCCATTGAAAGTATCCTATGATTTTGGCATGTGTACATGTGTGCATGACCTTCACCAGACTGTGTGTAGCGTGGAAACATGGTTGCCGCTGTCAGTCACGTGGTGTACTCGTGTGACAGTGGTCAAATGTAAAGAGTGCAGCTATACGAGCTATACCTTCAGTTGATAGAGGCGGGCGCCACGAACCGGCCGGTAGCCGCAGCTTCTCTCTTCTTCTCTGATAACCTTACATAACTTTGAATGATAAATGGAAACACTGGCAACGGTGGGTGTTGGCACATGGGAGCATATGGGTGCTCTGTAATCACTACCCATCATCACTTGTGCTGCTATGGGTTCTACTTACACCTTGAATGAACCCGCGATCCGAACCAGTCATCATTCCAGCTAACCACTATAGGTGGCTGTCAGTGTAGGTGGTGGTTGACAACGAGAAAATCTTAATTTAAGGCAAGCTAAGTAAGTGACAATGTAACTAAATAACAAAAGCGTATTCTGGAACTCTCAACTGTGAAAGCAGTAAGTGGACCTTGAGTTTTGCATTCTTTAGCTCATTTTTGGCTACATTTTGCCTCTGAATGGTCAGTTGTAGCAGCCTTTACATTTTTATGGTACATATCTAAAAATTATTTTTCTCCAAAATGCCTGTCCTTACCAATGTGCAGCCTGCCCCACCTTTATCTGACCTGACTGCTTCAGGCGTCACCTTTTGGCTTCTATGCCCTAACATAAAGTCCATGACTAAAAAAAGACGGTAGCATGACAAGCCTTCCCAGTACGGCTTGTCCTGTGTCTTGCTGCCAGGCACCACTGGGGGCCTCTAAAGAGATTACATCAACATAATGTCCACTATATACCTAAAATCCATTCAGTGATGGGACACATACACAGCCCCTCTCCACTCCAGTGGTCCCACTTAACCAGAGGATTGTATCATGGTCTAATCCTGTGACTTGTTGACCTGTGTCCCCTCCAGTGGTCATGAATTTTCACCACCTTATCCCACTCACTCGTGCCTTACTTGAGCCGATTAGCCAGTATAAATAACAGGGTGACTGGGAGCAGTGTCAGAACCCTGGGACAATGGATTAGTTCCTGAGAATATGAAGACTTTAATACCCTCAACAGTGGACATGTCAAAACTCCATTGGCCTTAACTTCTCCAAAAAAAACTACTAATAAACAATAAGACGACGGACATGCCCCCCTAATATTTAGAACACGTGCACTCCCATCCTTTAAAAACAAAAAAGTAGCAGGGGACTTTTACTTATTCTCATAGTAAGTTTAGGCCTAGCCATATTTAAGGATACTTTTTTTGTTTTTTTGTGTGTGTGTGTGTGTGTGTGTGTGTGTGTGTGTCTTTTTGGACATCCATCATCTCTAAACCAAACAAATTGTGTTAAATTGTGTTCAGCCGCATGTTGTTTGTTGTAAGCATGATTCTTAGGTGTTTGTGGAGGGTTTAAGTGAAAGCTGATGTCAAAAGTATTAGAGGAGCTGACCCTGACAGTGTTTTTTCATTGTAGACAAAATGTGCTTGTTTGTATTTTTATAGTATTCCATCAGGGAAGAAAATGCTCCTCTAAACAGAAACAGATGTTTTGCTTAGTCAAACGCTGCAGGACTAGTTCACCCGAGACTGCAGCAAGGACTTTGCTAAAACTTACTTCAGTATTTAAAGCTCCTTGCAATACGTGTTTGAAACAGGTCAAAACCAAATAAATGTCTTCTCTTTCCAAGGGTGTGGCGTAGAATGCAACACCTTGCAGGTGTCAAACAAGCACTGACAGGCATATTTTTAGCAATCTAAATCTATCTATTGTGCTAAATCCAATCAGAGTGGGAGGCATCATGGGCCAGTTGAGCACCCTAGTGTTAAAGGGATTGGTGAGAAAACACTTAGAGAAAGAGAGAGCTGAAGCTTAGGGATTTGTGCAGCACATTATTCCTATCCTGTTGGATCTTTTTAAAGCCACCAGGGTCAATGGCAGTGGGAGCACATAAAGGCAGGGCAGTTGATGTGAATGTAAGGTTGATTGTCCTCTTGAATCATTTGTATTCTTTCACTTTAGTCCTTTCAGAAAATCAGAAAAACCCTAATACATACAAAGGTCAAAGGTGGAAGACCTAATAAGATTAAGGAAAATTTTGATTTACCAAATTGACGGGTGGATGACACAGTGATGCAGTGATTAGAATTGTTGCCTCACAGCAAGAGGGTTACTGGTTTGAACCCTGGGGTGGGAGAGCCCTTCTGTGCAGAGTCTGTATGTTCTCTCTGTGTCAGCATAGGTTGTCTCTGGATACTCCACAGTCCAAAGACATGCAGGCTAGGTTAATTGGTAACTCTCAATTGCGTATGAATGGTTATATGTCTCTTTGTATCAGCCCTGTGATAGTCTGGCGACCTGTCCAGGGTGTACCCCGCCCCTTACCCAGTGTCAGCAGGACAGACACCAGCCCCTCTGTGACCCCTAACAGGATAAGCAGTTATGGCGAATGAATGCATGAATAAAATATTGACAGGTTTGAGAACACTCTAACATGTGACCTTTTAACCCTTTCCAGTTGTGCAGCGGCGACCGATGTCCTCACTTCCTGGTGGGTCTGGGGAGAACATAGTCTACACCCTGCTGTGTGGTGGAGCTTTTGTCGGTGCCGTGTCATACGTAAGTTGTATTGTGTCTATCACGTTGTCATTTCAGCAACTTCGACGTGATACTATGATGATACTAACCTTAAATAGGCTGACAAAGCTAACCTTTTGTTAGCTAGCATCTTTTTTCTTTTCTGTGCAGTTTTTCAGCAGCAAGGTGATGTGATGGAGGTGTCTCAGTCACAAACAACAGTGCCAGCATGCAGCTCTGTACAGCTCACTGTTATTGTTTCTGTTTGTGTATGGAAGCATGTAAGAGACATAAGTATTTGGATTTTAACAGCCACTGAGTACTTCATACTGAGATTTAAACACCACTCAAGTCATAGAATTGAAAATATTACTTTGAAAACCATTTATCTAAATATAAAAATTCAAATGGCAACATTCAGGCTACACAGGGTAGGATAGGCTGGGTAGCCCGGATGTTGCTATTTGAAATTTTTATGCCCCTGCGCCAGCCATAGCTGTGGCTGGATGCATTATGTTTTAGGGTTGTCTGTCCATCTGTCAGTCCCATTCCCGTGATTTCTCAAGGACACATTGAGAGAATTTCTTCAAATGTGGTACAAATGACTGTTTGAACTTAACGATGAACTGATTAAATTTTGGTGGTCAGAGGTCAAGGTCACTGTGACCTCCTGTCTCATTCTTGTGACCCTGATATCTCAAGAAAGCCTTAAAGCCACCATGTGTAGGAATTTCTCCCATAACGTTGAAATGGTGTATTGAATTCAAACGGATAGCGCACTCTAGTGCCTCACTTTTTCAAACGCGTATTGCAACTACGGTAGCCGCTGTGTACCAGAGCTGGCCTGGCTCTCAATGAAAACGCTGAAGGCGGGGTTATTCCCTGGTAGTGCTATATGTCCCTTGCTGGAGTATGTATTTTCAAGATGGCAGATCGTTATGAAACCCCCCAAACGAATTACCCGCCCAATGTACAAACAAATCTGAAATTCTCCTTTTACAAGAATAAGTCAAATTATTGGTGGAGGTAATAATTCACCAATGATGACATATTTATGAATGCAGACATCGATTTTTGCCAATAAACAACTGAAAACGCTACACAATGTCCCTTTTAAGCTTTTTTTTTTTTTCAGCTTTTCCACAAACATCCACTTAGACTCAAGAATGAAGTGAATAGAATTTGGGGGTCAAAGGTCACTGTGACCTTGCATTTGTCTCATTCTCATGGAAGCAATCCTCATATTTGGTACAAATGTCCACTTGGACCCAAGAATGAAGTGAATAGAATTTGGTATGTAAAGGTCACTGTGACCTCACAAAACATGTTTTTGGGCATAACTCAGAATTCATGCGCTAATTGTGACAAAATCTACAATGTGTAATAAGATAAAATTAAGTGATTGCATTTTATATCCAAAAAGTCAAAGGTGAACTTCACTGTGACATCATAATGTTCTCCATAAACTTGAATTTTTGGACCTGACTTGACTGAACAAAATTGAGCAATCTGATTTTATTATTTTTTGAAGTCCTGCAACTTGAATTTCTGGATCGGAATTTGTGAACATCAATGAAAATAATATTGTTAAATTTCAAAGAGGTGAATCCAGAACCAAAATTCAGATACATGGTTTTCAAAGTAAAATACATCAATTCTGTGAAATTAGTGGTGTTAACATTTAAAGATTAAGTATTCAATGGCTGTTAAAATTCAAATACTTACATTTTTTATTTGCGTCCGTGTTTATACTATTCTTCCCTGCAATATTTTGAAACACTGACCAAACAGCACAGACTACGTCAATATCTGCTTGATTATACCTGTTTCTGTCCAAGATTAGCACTATTAATGAAGCTCTGCTAACTTGGTGAAAAACACATGGTATTTCTTTCTTCACTAAAACAGCATCCTGCCTGTTCATCAGTGGATAGCTTTTACGGTGAACAGCAACAGAATGGGTTTGCATTGGCAGCAACTTAACACAGCTCCGATACTGTTGAAAGCGATCAGTAAAATCAGGCTGTCTGCAGTCTCACATCAGAGATAGGAGACTGCAGACAGATCACAGGAGTGAGACTAAACTCCAAACCTCAAACATTCAGTTCAAAGCTGCAAAAGAACTGAGAGCTCAACACAGAGAGACTTTTTTGTAACAAGGAATTCTTCCTAGTCACTGGAATAGTCACATAGCTGTACTGACAGTGAGGAGGACATCACAGGACGGCCATACATAGGACCACAGCAGTGCATCACAGCTATCCCCTGCTGGCTTGGCACAATGCAGCAAAAGTGAACCGACTCTGGCCCATAGAAAAACCCTACCGGATGTAGAAGGCAGCAGTTCATCACTCAAACCAAACCCTGACTGTCTGAGTCCAACAAATGAGTTAATCATATAAAATTACATAATTTCATTTCAGGAATGAGAAATTAGGAGAATTTTCAGATTTTAGACTCTTTCCTCTCTCCACAGGCATACAACACTGTGACCTCAGACAACGCCCGGTTCAATAATCGTGTGGCACAAATCAATGCCAGACCAAAGACAGAGTGGGTACCTAAACCATGGCCACCTAAGAGTAAGTTTTCCTCAGCTGCAACTTGAATTTTTTTACCTACTGTACCAGACTAAACTACAGGTGATCAGAGACCAAATCATCTCCACTGGCTCCTGGATTGTATTATATGAAGCTAAAAATAGTTCTTGATAAAACTTTACTCACTTGTTTTGTGTATAGGTACAGTTCAGGTTAGTGTTTGGTCTTCTGATAGCTGGTTTTATTTTAGATCTGCCTCCAGGTTAGCAAATTATTTTGATTTTAAGTAACAGGCTTTTTTTTTTTTTTTTTTTTTTTTTAATTTCTTTAGCCCACAGTGATGGCTGCCTTTGTGGTGGTAAGATGACAAAAGTTTCCAGCAAGGAATATAATTGCCCGTGTCCAGTCATTGTTCAGTAACTTGGCTAAAATGAAACTTTGTTCTTGTCTGGTTTAAGTGCTCCCTGCAAGCCAGTGACTGTACCTGGCCAAAGAACATTTGGCAGATTGTGAAGGAAAAGATATGTTGGCTTAATGGGCTTGAAGGAACAGGTTGCCCCAAACTCAAAAATACATTTTTTTCCTCTTCCCCGTCGTGCTATTTATGAATCCAGTTTGTTTTGGTGTGAGTTGCCGAGTGTTGGAGATATCGACTTTAGAGATGTCTGCATTCATTCCAATATAATGGAACCATGGTGGGTGATGTACTGAATATACTCTGTATCACGACTTGTTCCTCGTTCAATGTGTAAGATGACTCCATTGAGTATAAATTGTCACGCCTTTTTTTTTTTTTTTTTTTCAAGCCACCAGCATGAGCCTCGCTTCAGTGTGTCTGTTCTCTTGCTGTCTCCTATGGCTCGCTCCCCCCTCTCTCTCGCGCGCGCGCGCACACACACACACACACACACACACACACACACACACACACATACCCCCACACACGAAGGAAAGACTCCTCTCCCCATCCACACCACTTTCCCCTTAGTGATAGCGTGTGAGCAGACAAAGCATGTATCTTATCTGCAGGGCTCCACACCGCTACATTTAGTTGCATTTTGCAACCATGGAGCACCACTGCAGCTTGCAAATACCATAAATATATAAAGTGGAGAGCTGTTAGTGTGTTTCCAGCTCACAGTGAATAAATCATCATGCTAACAGTGCAGCAGCTTAACTTTCTGCAAACTGCTAATGTCTGTTGACCGGAAGCTTTAAGTTCAAAGCAAAAACATCAACACTTCCTGATCAAGACTAGCGGGGTGCTTGAAAATAAAAGCACCTGCGCTTCTGCTTTGATTTATTTAAACATAACAATGCTTCGTTTAACTGTATTATAACAGTATTTTATTTAACTTTAATATGACAGTAGCTACTATATTCAACCTAATTGCAATCGTAATCATTTGCAGAATATTGAGATGTATATCGTGTGTCACCATATAGCCTAAAATATTGCAGTATTATTTTTAAGCCACATTGCCTAGATGGGGGCAAAACAAAAGTGGGACTAGATGGCACCTGGCTCCTATTGCGCAACTTGCCAAAATACAAGACACAACAGCAGTGTCTCTTTCCAGAAATCATGACCTCGTCACTCAGATAATCCGCAGACCTTGTTGTGAGCAGTTTCATGAGGGAACTATTTTCTTTCTACCAAACTACACTACAACGGTATCTCTGCACAGAAGGAAGTGTGCATCTACTGTTAGCTCACCTAGCACCACTGGAAGACGCCATTAATGTTTACATCTTGCGCTGTCACGAGCCTCTTGTCCATTAGTAGATGCACCCTTCCTTCTGCTCAGTGGTATGGCTGGCAGGACTAGTTAGGTAGAAAGAAAACAGTTCCTACATGAAACCGCTCACAACCAGGTCTGTGGATTATCTTGAGTAACTGGGTCATTGTTTCTGGAAAGAGACATCACTGCTGAGGTTTTTTTTAATGTGTGTTTTTTTTTTGTTTTTGTCTTTTTTTTTTTGCCCTCTGAGCACCACAGGCAGACATTACTATCTAGTTCCATTATATTTGAGAGAAAGCAGACATCTCTTTGACTAATATCTCTAACACTCGGCAACTCCCACCAAAACAATCTAGATTAATAAATAGTAGAGTTGGGCAGTATACAAATTTTGTTACTGTTAAACCTTCCCCACATTTTCCCGGGGTATATGGTATTACCGTGACTAATTAAAAATCACTTTGAAGGGCTCAGAGGGAGTCGCCAGAATGTTGGCTTGCGCCTATACCGTTCAGAAACAGAATAGCAAACATTACATAGGCCTAAGAATACTGAAAAATAACAAGAAAACATGTACAACATTAACAACTTTTATTAACAAATACGCAAATGCCACAGTCAACCAAATAAAACAGAATGAAATAACAACAAATTGTCTGTGGGCTACAGTCCACTTCAGTACAGTAATCAACACAAATCAATTAAATCAAAACACAGCCCTATAGCATCCAATACTTATAGGCTTATCAAATAATAAAAAAGTAACAATAAATAACAAAGGCAGTAACGATAATGTGTGCTATACAGCATATCCTGAGATCGCAACGGGTACTGTCAGATGGTTTATTTTTAGAACCTATCAACATAAATCAAATTAAAAGCACAGCTCTACAGCATCCAGTACTAGGGCTCTTCAAATAAGAAAAACAGAACAATAAATAACAAGGCATTACCGAAAATGAGCATATATAATCCTATCCTGAGAACGCAACGGGAAAGACTGTTCATTGGTTTATTTTTAGAGCCTACCTTCAGTTTGAAAAGTTCAGCCTCTCCGAGTCCAAACTTTCCTCAGAACAGGCTACTCCTCATTGAAAATGAAATAAAAACAAAGTATAATGATAACTAGGCTATAGCAGCATCCTATGCTTCAAAACTATTTAAGGTTTTTCGCCAGAAAATCCAGCATGTTTACTTTTTCCGTCTGGAGCACGGCACGTAGTGGCTTGACAACTTTGGCCGCGGTGCTGGGTGGTTCGGGCTGCGCTTCTCCCTCCTTCATTCTGATGGCCACTGGACCTGCTGCTGCTTGCAGAAGTTGTGTGTGTGTGTTTTTTTTTATTTATTTATTTTTTTGGCGACCAACTTTCTTCCCTCTCATGTCCAAGCTGTCACGTGAAGATGTCACATCCAAAAACTTTATCAAATGTCACCTCCCGACAACAGTTAAGGGCAGTTATAAGAGAAACATTAAAGCCTACTATTAGTTTTAAATTGTAATAGTATTAAATTGAAAACTCAACCACACATACATAGGAGCTGGACAAACACTCATTATTTAGGCATTAAATAAATTATATTTAATATTATATCAGGCCCCTATAGGCCTATATGGGCGGCAGATTTTTTTAATGATGGTAATGAAACTGATACCGTTGCTATTTTTAGATACCGCGGGATACCTTATTGTCGTATTATCGCCCACCCCTAATAAATAGCACTGCAGCTAAGAGGAAAAATACAGATTTTTGATTTTATGGTTAAGTGTCAAAAACAAAATGTTCCACACATAAGGTAATCCTACTGCCTGAATGAATGACAGTGAGACGGTTTTACCATCTAATAACCAATACCCCATGTGGAGAACAAAACGACTGTCTTGTTCTGCATCATGTACAGTAAGAGGCTTAATGGATCATACTGTGGACAGCTCCTGGTGCTGAAATGAGGGCTAAGAGGGGATGAAAGTCAAAACATTTCATTGGACTAAGCAAAACTGTATTGTCTTTAATTGAAACACAAATTGATTTATTTGACCACAAATACAAACAATGACTAAATTGTATTGTTTGATAACAGAAATGAGCATCGGTGCATATTGAGAAGATAAACAGCACTGTGACCAGTCTTCTTTAGCTCCTGTTTTCTTTATCAGTGTTCTCTCTGTAATTTTTGAGAGTTAATCAAGAAATGCAGACACTGACTGTAGCTGTGCTTAATGTCAGACTGTTGTGTCACAATGTAAATCTAGGTTTATGACGGGGCTAAAGGTCTAAGCTGAGTTACCGATAACAATAGGACTTGCACTAAAACAATGTTGAGGATAATTATAATAAGCCCTCATTTATGCCTGCGGCTGCTCTGCCTTACTGTGAGCAAACAGATTGAGTTCACACCCAAGCAAAGGATTGTGGGACAGTCTCAGATTATCTCCTGCTTATTTCAGCAGCAAGTGAACTTCACTGACACAACACACAAATGTAGAGACTGAGCATAGCTGCCCAGCTCAGTCTGCTGGTAGAGAGCCATCCTATTAGATACACACACAAACACACACACACACACACACACACACACACACACACACACACAGAGCCATGTTGCTAGCTGACCTACATGTGTATTTTTACCACTGCTGCTAAAGTGCTTTCAAATTAGTTTAGATGTTTTGAAGCCAATTAGAACAATCTGGACTATTGTCAGAGTGCTTTATCAGTTAGGTCTTCTTGGAAATTGTATAATCCGTTTGACTAAATCAATTTGGGATCTGAAAAAATTGTGATGGATATTTTTCTGAAATGTTATAGACCAAACCATTGATATTCAATATAAACTAAGCACAAAAAGTAAGGAAATTTGTGTTTGGTAGGTTATTTCCTTGGAGGATAGAGTTCGGTTCCAGACTGTGGAGATATGGGATTGCCACTGGTTTCAGAATTTCATCTCGATGTCTCTCTGCATTGAGATTGCCTCCAATGATGACAAGCCTCATTTTTCCAGTGAGGGAGATGCCGCCCCACACCATCGCACTGCCTCCACCAAAAGATGTTACTCTATCGGTGCAGCAAGCAGCAAAGCGTTGTCCACGTCTTCTTCACACTTTGACCATACGATTCAACTGCCAAAGGCAGAATCTGGACTCATCGCTGAACATAACGTTCCTCCACATGTTCAGGTTCCAGTGCACGTGTTGCTGACACCAGCGCAAACGGGCCAGACCATGAAGGGCAGTCATGGCAAGCCTCTTGGCAGCCCTATGACACTGGAGATTGGCTGTGTGCAGTCTCTTCCGGATTGTCTGGACAGAGAGCTGTCTACCATATCGTCCTGCAAACCTTGACTGCAAATCTGTAGAAGACTGCCTACGGTTCCTAAGTGCTGACAGGATGAGGAAACGGTCTTCTTGGGGTGCCATCTTCTTGGGACGCCCACTTCGCGGCCTGACTCTGACATCCCCCGTTATATGGAACTTGGCCTTCAGTTTGCAGATGGTACTTGGGCTCACTCCAAATAATGCCGCAACTTGGTTTTGCGGAACATCAGCTTGAAGTTGCCCTATTGCACGCACCCTATCCAGATCAGTCAAAGGTGGCATGCTGATTCTTGGAGTAGACACCAACTGACCACTGTAGCAGGGCCCACCTGACTGATTGTCAGCACCTTAGGGTAACAGAAGCTCAAAACAAGAGTCAATAGCAACAGCAAGAAAAAGCCGATTGGCATTGGCAGAGAAGATTTGGCTAATTTTGCATGGGCGCAACCCATATACTCAGCTCTGCTGCTCATCCCACAAATGCATGTTCCTTACAAATGTGGCACCATTTAAAAGAGAAATAAACAGGCTTTCAAACGGTATAAGATTTATTGCCAAGAAGCATTGTTACAAGAAAAAAATAATCTACAAATGTCCTTACTTTGTGCTTAGGTTATATTCAATAGATAAATCTACAATTGTCAGAAACTGCAACCCTAATTAGACAGGGAATTACAGTTGTCAGAAAACTGCTGCTGCATTGAGTGTGGACATCTTGACCTTGGTTTTGAAAAAACAAACCAAGGTCCTCTTACAACTATTTTATTTTATTATTTATTTATTTATTTATTTATTTATTTTTGAGTTTTTAAACACAGATGATCTTTATAGCAGATGGAGTTTACTCCATTTTCATGGAGAAGATGAGATGGTGAAAGTGGTGTTACTGAGTGTAGGGTCCTACACTCAGTAACACCACTCAGCCATAATCATTGGCTGAATACAACCAACTGCTGTAGGGAGCACTTTAACTAGAAAACAGACAAATTTAATTTTGTTATGTCATCTTACTAACAGAATTGATGTTAATTGGTAACAGCTGATAAAACCTGGCTGTGATGGTTGTCATTTTAAGCTATGAAAGCAACGGTCAGCACAGGCTAAAAGGAACCCTGCTGAATGCTTTGGACACTACTCTTTGCTAATGCTAATTACAATTGTAGGTCAGTGCATCCATCCCTTTTACCTACCTCAGTTTCTGAACTCAGCCACACTCACTGATGCATCCAAACAGTAAAAGAAAAATAGTAAATGAAAGAAGTGCTGCAACACCAGCAGGCTGAGAAGGACAAAACACAGAAGAGCACTGTAAAGAAACAAAGTAGACTGTGGTAAAGGAACACTGCAGAGTACAGTAAAGAAACAGGTAGAGTGCAGTGAAGAAAGACAGTAGAAAGCAGTAAAGAAACACAATAGAGCAAGAAACAAAAAAACAACAACAAACAAAATGATAACATGAGTCAGTCTTTACTTTTGAGTACATCTGGAATTCCCTGTTCTATAGCCCCTCCCCTCCCTGACACAAACTAATTTCCTCTAAACACAAACATCCTCTGATCCAGCACACACAACTCTGTCTATTATGTTTGAATATGATATCAGTGTTTGTGATCACTGATAGCTGGCTTTTTGTTTGTTCTGGCTGGCGGACTCTTAACTGCCCATGTTCTGTTGTAGATAGATGAGATACGTATAGAGATACTGAATAGAGCAAATATACCAACTGACAGTGTACTCATACATCACTGTGTACAGGCACTAATGCATAGGAGGTAAATCCCCTGTAAACTACTTGTGCTTCTGCAGAGTCAGGCTCACTGCTGCTATCAAGATGACTTATTTCATGTAGTTTTCTATCACATACAGTAAGAAACAATCCCATTGGGCTGAGTGTTAAAAATTCCAGTTAGTTCCATAGAATGAATATTAATGATTTCAAAGACTCTTTTGTTCACTATCAAACCACATATCCCAGTTTCACACAAGCATCTTTAAAATATAATCGGCAGAAGTTAACGGAATGCAATCATGCTCCCCAAAAGATAAATCTTGTGGGATATATGACAAATAAAATCTCCATTTAACTATTAATATTCTTTAAGAAAAAGCACATCTACAAGGGTAAAATGGTGTGACCAGCATGCTAAATGCAAACCAATTTATTGAAATGTGTATCAAATATCCTTATTTTTAAGCTGTAACAGATTGTAAACTTGAACATGTTCCAGAGTCTGTCCAGACACCTCCTTCCTTTTGCTAAACCCTGCATTTTTTTTTTACTGCTCATCTGTTGCCACTGTGTCTGCAGCTTGTTTCTGTGTGAAACTTACACTGATGTTTCTGTTTTCTTACAGGCAGGGATGAAGAAGAGGGTAAGTTGTTTCATCACAGATATTAAGCATTCATTATCACCGCCTGAATGCTCACTGAAATGTTGTCCTGAGTTTAAGGAAATGTTGGCATGGGCTTGATTGTGCTTTTAATAATTTCACTATCCTGATTCCAACATTAGTTGCACCGAAAGCTCATGATCACACAAATCACTGTATGTTTTTACCACTCATAGTTCCAAAATTACACAGTCGAGAGTGAAAAAGTTAAGGTAGCTACACATAAAATGGGAATGATGTGATTATAGCAGCAGACAGTCACATCCAACAAAGACAAATGCAGTCTGAAAGATGACAACCTATTTTAAGATTACAGTGTTATATCATGTCAGGTAAAGCTAACAGGGGGAACTGTAAATTCTTACAGCTGCATACTGCCACTGTAGAGATGGGGGTAGTCAGAGCACAGCAGAATATTTAAAAACTTGACTTGCAAGTAACTCTAGTGGGGTCCAAGCAACCGACACAATTAATATGTATCAAAGGGTCACTGACCTGGAGTCAGGAGAAGACTGGGGCATCGCTTAATATGGCTCAAACAGTTGTTGTAACGCATGTTTATGCATTCATGGAAAGTCTCAGACAACATAAAAATGTAAGATGAAATTTAAATAAATACCTCATGGAACCAGACTGAAATGAAGTAAGAAGAAATCTGGAACATCAAAAAAGCAAGGGTGTATGAACAAATGTTTTCCCTGTCTATGCAGACCTCTCTTCTGTAGTGGAATTAACATCATAGTATGCATGCATACTCTTATTGTGATGGCCCACCAGCAGAAGGAGACATAAAATACAATACTGTTCAGTGTATGCTATATTCATTAATTGTGCTAAATACGAAAAAGCATGTTGGCCAATACCGATGATTTACGAATATTATCAGCATGTTGGTCAATCCATTTTAAAGCCAATATCAATTGATACCGATGGCATGCCAATATTATATATACCTACTTGAAAAGGTTGGCGTTATATTTGTGCGTGTCCTTGTGGGCTTTTTATTTGAGACATGCATGACTACTCAGCCTTGCAAACAGTTTGCGAGTTGCTTTGTGTACAACATATCCATGAAAACACACAGAGCTGATTGTAAATGGACAAGAGGCCGTGTGTTGTAAACTGTGGAAAACCCCCCAGTTGAGATGTATATTTTTAGTGTGCTGTAAACATATCCAAAGAATGGAAAGTCCAAACGAAATATGCTGTTTCCATGACCCGCATCAAATTCAGAATATTGTCATTTGGAATGATAGTGGAATATTAATGGGCATGTAAACATACACAAGGATACTACACTACTCTCCTCCCATTTTAGAATTTGTGCCGAGGGCTCTATACTAGCACACCATTAGTGTCAAAATCTAATTGGCAGATTGCAGTGAAAATTGCTTCCTGCTCTCCAGAGAATAACGTGCTTCCATCTTGGACAAAAGTGTTCCTGTAGTGACACCCTCAGGACAATACAGAGGGTGATTAGGGTAAAAACAAAACCTCCTTCCACTTTTTCAGCAGGTTGTCCAAAGATATTTCACAAATGCCAAACAAATATCACAATTTATTGTAATTGTAAAATTACCTAAAAACTTCCACTTATTTTAAAAATATAGGATTTTCATCTACATCAGTGCTAACTGTGCTGCAAACTTAAGAGCTCCCCTAAAGCTGATATTATATATGACTCAGATTGCCCTATTTGACTTTCCTCAATCAAAAAGTGTCCATTTGACACACACTGAATGGTTAATATTTGGCTCGGATAGATTACACAAAATACAGGGACAATAATGGATTCTACTGATGGTGAACTTGTTTTTTTTTTTTATATATATAAAAGAACAGCAAAGCAGGGTTAGTAGAAGAGTTAAAACAAAAAGAAAATAAGGAGGAAACTCCTTTTCCACCAATATTGCATGGGTTCTGTTCTGGTTTCCATACCTAATTTTGAACTGTTCGGAGCATTCTGAATCCAAAAAATTGTAAAGAGCAGGGTTTTGTTTACCTAAAGTGTGACAACATCAGTGGATGTGTCATATTCTACAGGTTGGAAAAAGGATGGAGTCTCGTGTAAACATCTTATCATTAATCGTTGGGTCCGTGCTTGTTAAATGAGGACAAATATTTCTAATAACAGAACAAAGGCTCGCAGATAATTAATGTGATACTCCATTTTGCTAATACTGTTTACTTCTGATCCTTTTATTAATTGTTCTGCCCAAAACTGACAGACAGTCAAGCTTGTTTGCTAGATAGCACCAAGGTTCCAAGAAACCTGAACAGAACCAGTTCAAGAACCAGAGCTAATTTGGTGGAAGATGGGTATGAACTGTCTTAAACTTCACAACATCAACTGGGAGGTTCTGTGATTTGTTAAGGAGCAGAATACATGTAACAATTACACATACATGTAAATGGTGCAGAGGATTGCCCCTGAGACACATATTGTGCATCACAATCATTTACAGCATCCTGAGTAGCTAAGCTTTGGCTGTAGCCATATTTATAATTCATCCTACCCTGAAGTTGTACATTTTATCTCCAACTTCAGAGGAGTAATTTCTAGTTTGGAAACATGTATTGGCTGCACTTGTCTTCCTATCTGACCTGAGTCTTGCCTCTCTGAATTTTATCTTCCTTGCCAAAAGGCTTTAGTCACCAAACCAGTCCCCTCCTTTGATCCCACTCAATCCCTCTTTTCTCTCACTCTTCATTGTGTTCTTTATTCCTGTTGTGGGGAAGGGCTTTAGATAAATAAGGTCTTGTGTTTTCTTCCAAACTTGAGTCAATTTGAAGACATCTCTGCTCCAAGTGAGACAAACTGTCATATGTGCTAATGACAAAAGCTTCTTCTCAGAGCGCTCACCATTGACATCACCAGTGCATCTTTAAAGCAGCCCATACCCATTTTTTGCCATTTCACATGCCAAGCTTCTGTGGGTGGTTTTTAGATTGACAATGACTTTGGTGTGTAAATTAAATCTGGCTTTAAAAAAAAAAAAAAATTAGACCTCTTCTTCCCATTTCTCTAACTCTTTGTGTCTTTACTCTTTTCAGTGTAATGGTAAAGCTAAGGTCCTCTGTGGCCGCATGGATATTCGTCCTAGAACTGGACTCTTTGGATCTGAACAGGAAAACAAAATCCCTCTCTCCTCCTTCCTCCCTTCCTGTACTGCTAAGAAAGAGAGTGCTCTACTCAGCTTTAAACCTCGGGACAGTTCTGTGGAGGATATTGATTCTGTGCTCCTTTCTTCAGTTTTTGCCTCTTGCTGCTAAATGTTAATGTGTAACTGTGAAGAGGATAAATGGACTTGACAGAAGTATCCAAAACCACTTGACAGATTTTTTTTTTTTTTTTTTTATCAGTGGACTATATCTTAGTTTGAATGTTAAAAGATTACTTTGTTTTTGTGGGACATTAGCCAGTTGATTAACATAACTATTGAGCAAAGCTATCCATGCTACCACATTAGCATGCACTGTTGTGAGTGATGGTATTCCATTAGCACCATCTCAAGGGCTGTTTGAGCTGATGTAGCCAGGTTTACATTTAGCACTATTCCAGGTGAACATACAGTGTATGTATCTGCTGGTCAGTGATATATATTTACCTCATTTGCAGTCTCAGTGGCCACTTAAAAAAGAATTTATATATATTATTCTTCAGTGAGACTTAATATTTGTAAAGCTTTCACAGTTAATCGCAACTCCAAAGGTGCATTATGATAAGAACTGAGTTTGAAATGATGTTGCATGCAGCACTAGCTGTGGATGCTAAAATTGATGCTTTTCAGAAACCTAATAATACAATCAACACCTCAGATAACTTCCTTTTTTGGATTCTTCGTCAATTTTTAATGGCTCTGCTAACTATGGCACAGTGTTTTAAAATCAAATGTAACAAAGAAGGTTTTGAATTTGCTACAGCTCAAACTTTTGCTTCCCCATAGCAATGGGAGCTGAGACACACAAAACATTTCTCAGAATCAAACTTGAAACAGTTGAAACTGATGGCCTTTACCTCAACTTGTGGTCAGTATTGTTTCATTATACAGGGGTCTAAAGTGTTTTTAGGGTTCAAGAACATTGGAGGTATTGTTAGCAGAAACCTTTGAAATGGAAAATTACAGTGGGGAAAAATACTCCTGGAAACAGCAGAAGTACGAATGTGCTAGCTGGCTATTATCACTCCCAATAGTTAATGCTCAAGTGTTGAGTACTAGAGTTAAAGTTAAAGTTGACTCCTGGGCCAGTCTCCCACAACTTGGTGTATATGTGTTAATCGTTACTGTAGAGCAAATGGTGGAGGGATGTCTCAAAGATTAAAGACGCACAACCTACCTGGCTGTCTCACTGTCAGACTTACTTTCAGAGTTCCAGATAATACATAGCTTGTTAACTGGATGGTAAGAACCAAAATTCAACTTCACCCCCTCTACCCCACACCCTTAACCCACCCCTCTCCCTCCCTTCCTGTTCCCCTCTCTTCTCTGGTCTGTCATGATCCTCCCTGTCTTTGAGTTTGCATGCAGTTTATGTGATGATGATGTTGCCTTTAGTATTCACTGAAGTAGTAAGTTTAGAAGTAGTACATCTGGATCAGCCTGCTGGGAAAATACGATCAGCTGTCAGTAGCTATGTTTCCATCCAACTGTCCACCTGTCTCATTTTCCAAAGCTGTTACACACAGTGCAAGTTCAGGAGAGTGGCACAGCTGCATTATTTTACATTAAAAACAGCGAAGGCCTCGGCAACAACTGCTCGCTGTCTGAAAGTACCTGACATTTGACAAATCTGAGCAGATCGGCACATTTGTCATCTACATTGTAGAGTTGTCACTTTTAAGGAAAAAAAAAAAAAAAAAGTTTGAATGAATTAGAACAGACTAATAACTGTATCTGCAAGTTGCTCCGGTGCTCCATAGTTGCAAAACGTGACTACATAGTCGTGGTCTGGGGCCCTGCAGATACAAAGACACATGCTTCTTCTGCTCATGCTATCGTTAATCTCAGTAAGTTAAACTGTTGGCGTGGCGCCATTTAACATGAGGATTTAGTCACTGAGCTGGAAACAACTGCTCTCCAGTTCATATATTAATGATTATTGCAAGTTGCACTGGTGCTCCATGGTCGCAAAATGTGACTAAATAGTCATGGTCTGGAGCCCTGCAGATTCAAACACGTGCATTGCCTGTTCACACACTATTTTTGTTTGTGAGTCTCTCTCTCTCTTGCTGCTGGACTGCAGTTCAATTTCGGTTGTCATATGTCATCAAAGGCGTGGAATGTGACATGGAAATATGTCCCAAAGCGAGACTGTCATGAAAAAAAAATTAGTGTAGTCATCTTGCAGATGATTTCTCAGAACACTCAGTATGGAGTGTGCCTCTGGGAAAACGTCCATTTTGAGGGCCTTGTAGCCCAAACGCTTTGCCCTGCCCCTCTGTCCCAACAAGAATCAATATGCCCTACCCCTAGACGGGAATGAGCAAAATGGTGGGCTAAGGGCTAAATAGTAGGGGCACGGGGCTTACTGGGGTTGAGCCTTAGATGGTGAATTTTCACCTTGTAACAATTACTCAATCCTAAAGATCAAAAACTATGCTGTTTTTTTTTCTCCTGCACACTGTAAATTGAATGATTTTTTTAATTTAACAAGATAATGACTGGTCAAATATTTGTTCCCACATTAAAGTGAAATTTGAATTTGTAATAAAAAGTGACGGCTACTACAACAGTAGTAGTACAACAGGTATTATAAAACACATTATAAAACATCAAATTTTCTCTCTCTCTCTCTCTCTCTGTGTGGTTTAAAGGCCCAGACACACCAAACAGACATCAAACAAGTAGTGGCGACGTAAGCCGACTGTTGTGTCACCTCATGTCGCCCGTGTCTCGGCCAAAAAATGTCACCTGAACGTACCACAAAGACTACTGCCAACCAGCACATTCTGTGGTAGTCTTCGGTAGTCTGAAGTCGACATTCAAAAAGAAAAAACGGAAGAGTGACAGGATGGTAGTTGGTCACTAACAACATACCACATGTAAGAACAGAGGATATGAACAATAATACAAACAATTACAGACATTTCCCGCTAAAGAGCTCAATACCTAATAAGTTTATTTTGATCTTAGGCCATTTTGACTTGAGGTGTCTTGTTAGCTCTTTGCAGTGCAGTTTCTCATGAGCTTTCAAACAGTGTGATTTCACTTACAGACGGGCTCCACTGGTTTCAACGCCAACTCATCACCCTGAATAGGCCGAATACAGCAGACAAGGGCCAAATAGTTCCAATGGTGCTGGACACACTGCAAACACGAGGGCAACGGATGCTTGATGAGTCAGGGCTCTGGCACAGCTTGAATGGAAACCCAGCTACAGATAATATATAAAAAATATTGTTTAATGCGGTTTTTAATCAAAACGTCTCACATTTAAAGAGTGATGTTTTGCTTGGTTTATGCTCTTAAATGCAGCATTTCCAAACTGCATGTGTCTGTACAGAACACACAGTGGCTGCACCAGTGGTTAATATTGATTAGGACGGGTTGCTGACTGCTGGCTGCTCACTGTTAGCCCCATGAATCAAACCAATGCTCTGGCTGATCCACTCCTTCTGGTTCTTGTGTTCTAGCAGGAGAGGAGGAGGAAGAAGTGGCAGCTGAGGAAGCCAGTGGAGAGGCTGAGGTTGGCGAAGAGGAGGCTGGGGAAGTTGCTAATGGAGAGGCTGAGACTGTAGAGGAGGCAGTCGCAGAGGCAGTCGCAGAGGCCGCTGAGGTTGTTGCTGAGGTGGCAGAGGGCATTGCCGAGGCTGCGCACGAAGTGGAGACGGTTGCAGAAGAAGTGGCTCAAGCGGCCAAAGCTGTTGAGGAGGCTGCTGAGGCTGTTGCAGAACCGGCCGCTGTCGCTGCTGAGGAACCCGAAAGCAACGGTACGACCTCTTCACCTGAGGACGAGGTAGCTGCCTCTGAGGCCTGAGGTGTCACACTTTCACTACAGGGAGATGCACACACACTTCCTATCTAACTATCCTTAAACCACTTTAACTAAAGAGCCGCTGACAGCAGGTCCTTTTCTTCCCTCACAACACTGGGATCAATAAAACTGGTAACTTACAGTCACTGTCTAGATCCACTAGAGGTTAGCTGCTTCTCCTCAGGTGCCGGGGTTCACCTCTTATTCAGCACTCTTATCTTCCTGACAATGTATAGTTTCTCTTTTATTTATTGGAGTGGGTTGAGAGGGTTATTAATGTGTGAACTGAGCGTTTCTTTATGTAAGGGTGACTTAAGATTTTTTGTTTTGGTGTGCAGCGTAGATCACTGTGTGAGATGTCTATATTTGTTCAGATTATTATGGGAGCTGGAGATATCAAAGCCAGCAAAGAGATCTCCTCAGTAGGCTCCTCTTGATTTACAGCAGCACACCAGAGTGAGACATTTCCAAAGTGTCAGTTAGGTCTCTCATATGCAGTTATGAGTGAAATAAATGTGATCACTCAGAGTAACATTCATAAAGATTGGCCTTATTTCACACAGTTAACATGACTAAAAACCAGCTAATCCCTGTGAGAATACCACAGGCTTTATGTCAGGTTCAGCAAACCACACACAAGGAAGTAAGCGTGGAACAAGCAGGAACACCCCTTAAATACTGTGATAACGTTGCTGTATTTTTGTTATGAAGTCCCTAATGGTATTTTGCAAGATTTGATCAAAAGCTGTATTTCATTGAAACCTCTGTAATGTTGTACTACTTCATTCAGGTATCACAGAGCAGGTTGTTTATTCTTAAACTATCGAACAGTTGTGTTTATTCTACAGCAAGATGAGATGGCTCTGTACTAATTGTGTAACCGCTGCAGTGTTTTCTTTTCCTAAAGTGTAATGTGAAACTCATAAGAACTCATCAGGTCAACAAGTGATTCAACCCATATGTGATCATATTTTTATTTTGCTTATAACTGGATAATGAGCACTGTGAACATTTTACAGTAATTTATCAAGTCATACAATAAAACCTTTATGAAGCCGGAAAGGTTTACTGCCGTCTTTAATTTGTCTGACTTGGTCTTTTTACGTACGTTAAGTAAGGACATTTCTAGCTATTCATTCCAGTTTAGTAATTAAATTTTTAAATTCCTTTTTTTTGTTTTCCGTCATAAATTTAATAATTTTCTGTAAATTATTTATCAGCCTGATTAAATGCTCACTATTACGTGCAAATGCATTTCAAATACTTTAAATTTTCTTCTCACTGCTCTCTGCACCCAATTCTTCTTTGCTACACTGTGTCAGAAATGCACTGGGACTTCTTTGTTCATCGAGATATAACCCTTACTTTTTGCATGGTTTTCACTTTAAGGCCAAAACACAACAGATGTGAACAGCACACATCAAAAAATGCCCCCATTATTTTCAGTGTATAACCCCACACTGGCAGTGGCTAGACATGCGTCAGTGCTCCTGGATGGATGGTTCTGCAGCACTTCACACCACTGTCCTGTTGCCAGCCTTGTCACCCGAAATTAAATGCATTTTTCCCCCACTCACTCTCTTCTTGTACATACCGGCTCCCTTAGCACCTCTAGATACAGCGTAGTGTCACAATATTTTTGTGTGGCAATTAGGGGTCCTCGGATCGGGTATCGGCATCGATGATGTTATTTTTACAAAATCAGAATCGGTAATAAAAGATTGGAGGAATGAAATCAACAAAAATGGCCAGGTTTTTCAGCTTTGTTGTTCATTGTTGTCTCCGCTTTCCAATGTATTGTAACCGAGTGTCCTGGGTTCGCCTAACTGAGTGCAGCTAATGAGCAATAAACGGACAGGAGTCGAGACAACAGGTTCAGCGGCCACCGCTTCTCTCTTTATTCCAAGCAACACAGCCACACCTACCACAGCCCTACGGCAACTCTGGAGGGACAATTTGTTAACAATTCAGAATTTGTTTACATTTTGTGCTGCTGAACCATCGATAAGCTTTTTGGATACTATTCAAATAAAAAACAAACTTTATGGGACAACTTGGATGCATTCTTTTTTGATGCATTCTTTTTTTTTCTTTCTTAATGCTTTGCAAAGTATTGGATTGGACTTGGTATCGGACTTGGTTTCAAAATAAAGGACTCGGTAAAACGGATCGGATGAAAACAAAAAAAAATGTGATGGGGACATCCCTAGTGGCAATATCGGATCGTCACCGTGCCATGTATTGATGTTTTTTTTTTTTAATAAATTTTTTTAATAAATACAAATTAAACTTTAGATAGCCTACTTGAGTAAAGGTCAGTTGCTTTTCAGTCTACTACATACATTTTGCTGCAACTGCAAGTGAGATGAACAGACTGAAAACTGATGACCGTTGGGGGAAAAAAGGTAATAAATGCAATATATCGCAGTATGTTTTATCGCAATACTCGGCATATTTAAAATCGCAATAATATTGTATCGTGATTGAAGTATCGTGACAATATGGTATCATGGAGCCTCTGGTGATTCCCACCCATAGTGTTAGGGGTAGCACCGCACGTGTCAGGTCGCACCGCAGCGGTGGCGGTGTGTTTTCACCTTAAGAATTTATGTGCATAATGAGCAGCGGTATGTTTCAAGTTCTGTATTGTCATATGCACAGCAGTTACAGAGAAGCAGTCATTTGCAACAGAAATCTCAGGCTCCCTCTGATGAATCTCAGTAACAAACATGTCATGTTAAAAGTCGCCAGTCTTTTCACAGATGCAGTTTATCAGCACTACTGCATTTTTTTGGTCAATTAGTAACAAGAAATTGCGGTACTAAAATGTATAGTTTGTTCACCAGAGACGACTGGTGATTTCTATAACATGTCCAGACCAATAGATGCTGTATCCTTGACAATACACCCTTAATCAAATTTAACAGATCTTACTCAAAAATGGTATGTGCTGATGTAGAAACTGCACTGCGACTGTCCTCAGATTTACTTATTTCTTGCAGAGAATTTCCAAGAGTTTTAAAGCAGTGTGTTCAAACTCCACCCAAGTTGCCAGTTATTAATAAGTGTGCTGTTCTGCTTTTCCTATTATGTGGAGAATCTTCACTGGTTTGTGGCTCTACATCTATGCCCGTAATGACTTGCACCGCTTTACTCTAACGCCTCTGTTTCTCTTCAACTTCTTCCACTGCTGGGGGTTGACATGACACCTGCATGTAGTCACAATCAACCAGATAGATTTGCTGCCACTAGATCCTCTATCCCTAAAACTGTCTCACAAATGCTATCTTTGGCTACCTACCGCAAGTTGTGTGAGCTAAATGTGGAAAAATATAACTTGGGCATCAGTGATGTTTGGATGGCTGAATTTTGTGTTTCAGTGGCCCTGGCAGCTGCCTCTGCTGTAGAGGTACCAAAAATAACTGACGTCAGTGAAGAATTGGCACCCGCTGTTGAAGACATCAAAGAGTCTGTGGCACCAGTAGAGGCACAGCCTGTTGAAGACATTGCACCAGTTGAGGAGGCCCCTGCACCTGTGGAGGAGGCTGTTGCACCAGTAGTAGAAGCCCCTGCACCAGTTGAAGTTATACCAGCAGAAGAATCTACTGCACCAGTAGATGAGGCAGCTGCACCTGTGGAGGTTGCACCAGTGGAAGAGGCCCCTGCACCAGTAGAAGAGGCCCCTGCACCAGTAGAAGAGGCCCTTGCACCAGTGGAGGTTGCACCAGTAGAAGAGGCCCCTGCACCAGTGGAGGTTGCACCAGCAGAAGAGGCCCCTGCACCAGTTGAGGTTACGCCAGTAGAAGAGGCCCCTGCACCAGTGGAGGCTGCACCAGCAGAAGAGGCCCCTGCACCAGTGGAGGTTGCACCAGTAGAAGAGGCCCTGGCACCAGTTGAGGTTGCACCAGTAGAAGAGGCCCCTGCACCAGTTGAGGTTGCACCAGTAGAAGAGGCCCCTGCACCAGTGGAGGCTGCACCAGCAGAAGAGGCCCCTGCACCAGTGGAGGTTGCACCAGTAGAAGAGGCCCCTGCACCAGTGGAGGTTGCACCAGTAGAAGAGGCCCCTGCACCAGTGGAGGTTGCACCAGCAGAAGAGGCCCCTGCACCAGTGGAGGTTGCACCAGCAGAAGAGGCCCCTGCACCAGTGGAGGTTGCACCAGTAGAAGAGGCCCCTGCACCAGTGGAGGTTGCACCAGCAGAAGAGGCCCCTGCACCAGTGGAGGTTGCACCAGCAGAAGAGGCCCCTGCACCAGTGGAGGTTGCACCAGCAGAAGAGGCCCCTGCACCAGTGGAGGTTGCACCAGCAGAAGAGGCCCCTGCACCAGTGGAGGTTGCACCAGCAGAAGAGGCCCCTGCACCAGTGGAGGTTGCACCAGCAGAAGAGGCCCCTGCACCAGTGGAGGTTGCACCAGCAGAAGAGGCCCCTGCACCAGTGGAGGCTGCACCCGTTGTTGAGGAAGCCCCTGCACCAGTAGATGCTGCGTCCGTGGTAGAAGAGGCCCCAGTAGAAGTTGCAGCAGCCCCTGTTACAGAAGCAGCGAGTCCTGTGGTGGAAGAAGGAGCTGCAGGCTCTGCGGAGAACCCGGAAGAAGGTCCCAAGAGAGAGTACATTGTTGTGGTTCTGGAAGGAACACCTGAAGTTGAAAAACGGCCCAAGGTGCTTGGAGTGGGATCCATGACTGGTAGACTCATCCCAGCCCCAGACGATGATGATACCCCTGCTTCTGAGGTACCACTTCACTTTGTTTTTAGACTGTTCTTAGGTTGATTAAAGACTTCATGGTGGGATGTTGATCAGTATAGAAGTAACAGGACTAGATTCCTCATGTCTCAGTCTCAGTTGTACAGTGTAACAGTGTTTTCAGGAAGGGTCATAAAGACCCATTTTATAATCAAAATGCTTTAGCATAGCATAGCATAGATATGTAATGAAATGAAATTTTGACCCCTGCTCTCAATCAGTGTGGGCTTTTAAAAATCATTCTAACATGGATTTTTAAACTCTGCTACTCAGGGTAAACGGCGTCTTCTTAGGATGCAAATGCAGTAGTTCCATGTAAGGTACTGAGTCTTTAATTATTTCTACCATGATAGAGTAGGCTGTGGACATGACACACTTCCCACCCTTCACATCCACATTGCTATACTACAGGCTCAAATACTCTTATGGGATGTACAATTTTTTTAATGTATTCATATTAGACACAGACAGTGTACAATACTATTGACTTGTGTTTCTGTCCTCCATCACAGTGAACAGCTCTTGAAAGATGACTTCAGTCCTGCAGAAGAAGAGGATGTGCCTTTACCCAACACTTTTCCTTCCTCCCTTTACCTCTAAAACTGCAAGGGACTAATATGTAGTTCCAGTGTAAAGATACACATACAGCACCATGTTTAGATTAATGCCTGCTTTATGGAACTGTCATGCCAACATATTGGCAGTGCCATTATTGTGACACTCCACACTGACTTTCATGTCTTGACTCCGTTGTCCTAGATGAGCCCGACAGTAGTTGAACACATCTCTGGTTTATCTGTTAGTATCCCCAGTAACAGTTCTTCGTTAACTTCAAAGAATTGCAACCTGTTTACTGCTGAGGACAAAACTGAGCCATTCACTCACCCTTTTTCTTACTGTTACAGAGTTTACTGCCTCAAATCACTCCAGTGGAATATTTGATACACCTCACAATGTCCTGTTGAAGAGGGAATGCTGGTATTTTTTAACCTGGACCCTATATTTCCATTGTTTGTGTCTTAAGTGACCAATGAGAACAGCAGTTTTGAAAGTGGTCCAGTATTGAGAGACTGCTGCAGGCTACAATGCAACTACTTGTTGCAGGAGTCAATTTATGTTCACTGTAAGTGCTTTTTTGCCACTGACAGGATCAGATTGTTATCATTGTCTGACAACACTATGGAAAGGACTCTACAAAGAAATGAAATGTTTTTCTGTAGCTTTTGCTTTTTGCAGTCTCTTTTGTGTCCAAGTCTCAATCTGAAATCTCATGAGGTGACTCGTGCAGGAAGAAAACAGTGGAAATGCAAGTGAGGGTTGGAGAGAGGAGTGCTGGTAATGGTGTGTTGTGATGGGGTACAGAAAAAGGATCTCACTCTTATCTAAAAGTTTTAATGTCACAACTAAATACTTAGCTGATTTCCACAATATGAAAAAATTCAAGAGATTTCAGAACGATACCTTTTGTAAAGAACAGACAAATGTTTAATTTCTCTGTAGGGTCCTTTCCGTAATGTTGTCAGACACACAGCCTGTCAGTGGCAAAACCAAACACCTTGACTGTTTTGTCACTGCCGGCTGCAGCCCTCTCTCTCAATAGAGGACCATTTTTAAAAGTTGTTGTTCCTGCGTGTCACTTGGGCACAAACAAGAGAAAAAAGGATCCAGGTTGAAAAATACCAGTGTTCACCTTTTAACCCAGTCTCTCCCCAGTTACTTAGAGTGTGAAGCCAAGTGTTATCTTTTAAAGAAGCAAGGGGTGTTTTTATCCACCAGCATTCTTTACAGTACCTTACCTCAGGTTTCTCCTCTGCTTCTCTTTGTGTGACAATCAACAGCTGGAAACACGTGCTGTGGTTTCTTTTTTTTTGAAGGAACACTCCGTGCACAGACTTAACAGCCCATATGCAGCAGCCACCTTGCTACCTCACTGTTCCTTGTGTTTTCAGTCTTTAAAAGGACACTCCAGACCTCCTCTTGATGCAGTCACAGTGTTACAGTTCCTAAGCCAACAGCACAGTTGCTAAGCCACTGACTTCAGTAAGCACATTATTTTTCAGAAGCTGTAATTTGATCACTTTAACTTATCCTGTACAATGAAATAAGGCAAACATATGTGGATTTCCCTTGACTTTTCTTCCTTTTTAAAGGGTCATTCAACACTGAAACAGCAGGAAGCTGCTGCTGCACCGCTCTCATTCGGTTTCAACTCTAAAGCATGTTTCACTTCTGGCCACACCTCAGTTGGTGATGTCACAGCAGGTCTTTTGCCCTTAACAGCTGTTGGAAAACCCCAGTCGTGACATCATTGATTGGGGTGTGGCCAGACTGGAAACAAACTTTAAAGTTGTGACCCATGGAGAGCAGCACAGCAGGTGTGTTCGTCTTTGTATTCAGTGTTGAGTTACCTTTTTGGGTGAGTTTGTTCCCCCAGGTTTGCAGACAATCTCATTATGTAGCAAATGTACAAACTGATAGGGACATCTGCCTGATATGAAGTTACAATCTCTTTTAAACTTTAATATAATTGAATATGAATTGTGCAAAAGTCCTTCTTGTATCCTTTTTATTCACATCTCCTTATTCATTGATAAACTAATAGACTGATGAGTGTAGCTCAGCGTCATGGGAGAAACAGTTGTGAGTGAGTTGAATAAGAAGGGATAAGAAGCATGTTCTTTTGCTCTTTGCTTTTGTGTCCTTTGGAGGAGCTTTTCTTGTCTTGTTCTAGCACTCTGATCTGTATGGATGTGTGATTTAAAGGCTTGCAGCAAGTCTGAACAGTGGTGATACTGATGTGCTAATGTTTGAAGTAAAGTCTCCAGTGTGAAATGCTTTGACAGCTCTGCTATAGTCCTCTCTTCCCCGATTCCCCCTCAGATTTTCATGTCTCTACTGTTTAACTTCTGGATTTGTTAGCTTGGTGTACAGTGTTTTGAATAGATCAGAGATCACTGAGGAAAGAATTGAACTTGTCTGTTGGTATGTATTTAAAAATGGATGTGTCCTTGATGGTCGTAGGCAGGTTTCTATAATAGGACATGAGAGGATACCTTTGACTTGGTAAAGGACAGAAACTGTGACTGTTTCACACATTACTGTTTTTCTTGTTTTTTCAAAATAAAGAGGGATTCAACATGATTTTTTGTGTTGTTTTTTTAAACTAATTTTTCTCAAAACTTGACTGCTTGACCTAAAGCTGCAGTAGGTTTTTTTTTTTTTTTTTTTTTTTTTTCCCCCCCCATATGTGGCAGTTGTTTTTCATGCCTCTGTGGTCAGTGGCATTATGTTTTTTTGTTGTCCGTTCATCTGTCTGTCCAGTTCCCTGTGAACACAATATCTCAAGAACGGCATAAGGGAATTTCTTCTAATTTGGCACAAATATCCACTTGGACTCAACAATGAGCTGATTAGTTTTTGGTGGTCATAGGTCAAAGGTCACTGATCTTGGCTGTCTCATTCTTGTGAACGTGATATCTCAACATGGATTTTCTTCAAATTTGGCACACGTCTATTTGAACACAACAATGAACTGATTAGAATCTGGTGGTTGAAGGTCAAGGTCAGTGTGACCTTGCATCTGACTTATTCTCATGAACACGATATCTCAAGAACAGCTTGACACAAGTGTCCACTTGGAGTAAAGAATAAACTGATAAGAATTTTGTGGCCCAAAGGTCAAGGTCAGAGTGACCTCACAAAATGTTTTTGGCCATAACTGAAGAATTCATATGCAAATTATGACAGAACTTAACACAAATGTCTAATAGGATAAAATAATGAGGTGATGACATTTTATATCCAAAAGTTGAAAGGTCAACTTTACTGACATAATGTTCTATACATTTTTTTCCCATTAAAGGGTTTTTTTAGGGTGAGTTTTTCCTTATCCGCTGTGAGGGTCCAAAAGACGGAGGAATGTCGTATGCTATAAAGCCCTCTGAGGCAAATTGTGATTTGTGATATTGGGCTTTATAAGTAAAATTGAAATTGAATTGAATAAAACACTTTCCTGGCCATTACTCAACATTTGGTCAGATACTGAATTGGTGACACTAATGTTGGTTGTCCCCCTTGAAACTGTGCTGATTGTAGAGATCTTCTGTGCTGCCAGGATGAAGATGTGTATGAAGCATCCATGTTTTCAAAGACATGGATATAAACTGTAAGATAAACTAGAATTACTGCCCCACAGTTGTATGCCTCCACGTACCAGTCAAGTTTCTAACTATTCATTCACTAGTCATTATATCCTCATCTGGTGTATTATTTCAAAATAAAAATGCCTCTGAAAAACATCTGAAGTGAGAAAAAGCAATGCAGTAACACAATCCTGATTAGTATTTGATCAGCACTTCCTAGTTGGACAGTTTGACAGCAGTTCTGGAGCAGTGATTGACATGACTGACAGCTTTTCTTTCTAGAATGACCTGTAATTGGCCAAAGTCTCCTGTCACTGTCTAGATATTCTAAAGGCTGGAAGTCTTGTGTTCTTTCAGACCAATTGAATTAAATTGTGCACAAGGTTATTTATGAAAGTTTTGCCCAGTTTTCCGTGACTGCCTACCCTAGCTTTAACTTAACTTGATGTAATAGTGTGTGTTAAAAATTCACACACACAAAAACTAGCAGGAAATAAAGTTCTCAACTACTTAAAGGATTTAGTGTTAAATAGAGATTAAGAAAGAAGTTTGTTGGGTAGTGAAAGTCCAATTACTGGTTAAAATATATTGAAATTTAAATTCAATTGAAAAATTGAAGTGATGGAGGGATGAAAAAGGAGTGATAACACACAGAAAGTGACCATTACTTAAATGCTATCATGCATTTCCAACACTGGGGACATACACATTTGGAAAAAAAATCACCATGAGAAATCTTCCCTCCAAACTGGCATGACCAACACCATAGCTCATGGACTACTGAGGGAATTTCTTCAAATTTGGCACAAATGTCCACTTGTTCTCAACAATGAACTGACAAGATTTTGGTGGTTATAGGTCAAAGGTCAAGATCACTGCGATCTTGTCTGTCTCACCCTCATGAATGCAACATCTCAACATACAACTGATGCAGGGACCCTCATGAAGAGAGGGCCTCAATGGAATTTGGTGCAAAAAAGACTTTGGTAGATATCCATTTTTATTGATTAACTGAGACTGCTAAAGCCTTGTATTAACTAGACATAAACATTGTGATGAATTTTTGCATGGGACAAAGACTGGATTTTGACTCTCATCTGCTTTAGAGAATGTTCTCTTATTGGCCAGTATGCACAGGAGCAGTGCAGGGTGTGTCTGCCACTACCAGAAATACATACAGTATGATACATTTGTGCACAATAATGAGCAGGGAAATATCTGTCTTGCTTACTTATGAGGTGTCTAAATATTTGTATTATATACACCTAGCAGCTGCTACACATACACATTCACTTTCTAAATGTTTCATTTATTTATAACACAACAACAAAGAAAACAATGACATTGTGCACATTGAAGTGCTCTGAAGTCACAATCACAGTCAACAAATCTTGAAAGTGAAAAACGGTGTTCTCTGAATAAATACAATGATGAACCAACCAGTCTACCTTCCAAACTACAAAGTAGGCCTGTTTCCAGCTGCAACAATCAGGCTGAGTGCGATCTCTCCTCTCCTCTCCTCACTTTATTCTCAATCCTTTCCTTTGCTCTCCTCTTCTCAGTTTGTTCCTCCTCATTCTCTTCTTCTCCTTTCTCTTAGAAATAGTCACATGCTAATTCTTATAATGATCTTCTAAATAAGCTTTAAATATTCTGAAAGAATCCTGGAGAACAGACGCGTGCAGCCCTGTGCTCCTCTTTTCCTCTACACACCGCCAGGCTAGCTTACTGGTTGTTAATGGTGGGTCATTGCCCAAATTAGTCTGGCTGTATTGAGATGCTTAAATAGTGGTTTAATTTCACAACAGGTACAGTCAATGCCAGGCTCAGGACAAACACCATTGTTACCTGGCCGCTCATGAAGCCAGATGAGGGAGACATGATGCTGCTCTGTAGGGTGATGAGGGAGGGGCTGGGGCTCAACTCAAATGCAGCTGTCAGGCACTTTTAATTGAGAGTTCATGCCATGAGCTCAATTTAAAAACTAAAATATACAATTATCAAAAGAAATGGAAAAAAGAAAAAAGGGCACTTATCTAGACGGAGGGTGAAAATGCAGGTGCTTGAGCACCCCCTGGGGGTCTATCTGTGCACGTGCCTGAACAGAAGGAATGATTACAGCAAGCAAAAACTGTTTCCATGTTCATTTGGACACCAAGACAGACATGAAAAAATGTGAATCTGTCCTTTAATAATCATCTCAGTAGCCTTATCAAATGATTGTGAGCTTACGTGTGCCTAAACAATTATTTGATTAATTAATTGCTTATTTTACTTATCCATTTATTGTTATGACTACTGACCTTTGTGTTACTGAACAGTACGTTTTCAGAGTCCATTTGTGATTTTAAGCCACTGGAGGAGTAGTTACAAGCTTACATCTTACCACAAAGTACATACGAGTTTGCGCCCATTGTTGGTGGGGTTTGTCCTCGTGACGTCACGGCGGTCTGTGCTGTGACCCGCTGGAGCCACTGCAGCGAGGAGGCGACGCGCCGGGAAGCTACAGGATAGCAAGACACAAGCTGGAATCAAAACACAACTTCAGGGCCTTCATCCGCCTTCGCCCCTTAGAGTTGGGCACAGGAAGTGAATAGGTGTCTGCAAAGTGGTTTTGTGGGAAGAAGGACGTGCAAACGCTTGTTTATGCGAGCGAAGTAAGCGTTTTGGCCTTGACAGCTTGGCTAACGTTAGGCCCAGCTAGTGCTAACGTTAGCCGTGGAGCTTACTTTTCACAAGCAAAAGCAAAACAAGGTAAGGGGAGGAAACTCACTGCAATAACACATCAGCAGGCTCTGATAGACCACAGCTCCATATACAGACGTCTTAATTTGCCCCACTGGTCAGCCAATGACAGTGTAGTCCCTTAACTATACACTAAATACAGTATATATGTTTGCTAGCTATCTGCTAACTGTTTTCGAGCTCGTAACGTTAATGCTAACCATTGCTATGGTTTTGGGTTGTGGGGATCTCCCTTGTAAAGGAGACTGCTAATTTACTTTTAGTGGCATTGGATAGGTGGCGTTACATTACGAAGTGCATAATGTGAGCGGCAGTAGTAACGTTAGTAAAGTCATCCTAAGTTTGTAGCATAAGCATTAGCTAACGAGTTAGCTGTAGAGTTTGTAGCTGCAGCTACACACTCAGTGAGCTCAGAGACGAGCCAGCCCGCTCAGAAAGTAAACATTAGCCTGAGTGGGTTAACGGTGGTGGCTGTCAGATCTTCAGACACACCAGCCGTGTCTGACACGATGGACACTGCCAGTGTTTTCAGTCACTTTTACCGTTGTAAGTTAGTCGTGCTGGCATTAAGCCAACGGTACAGTTTTCCTCTTTTCATCCGGAATTGCATTTCATGATACATCAGGCAAGTATGCCGAAAACATGTAAAGGATGAACATTCAAAATGCCAATGTATACCCTCTAGTGTTCGTATAAGTACAATATAACAGGATAACAAGCCTCTGAGTCATATAGTTTGAGCAGTATATCATATACGTATCGTTTCAAACTTAAAGGGCTCGTTCACATTTTTTGAAGTGGGGTTGTATGAGGCAATTACCCATAATCAGTGTGTAACTTACAGTAGATATCTCTCAGTATGCCCCTAGTTTGGAGAAACGGCAGTACTGCTGGGGATGGGGGTCAGCAGCCAAAGGTATTCTAGCCACCTAATAAAAGTCCCAACTAAAATAATCAGTATCAGTTTAAATGTTTGCTATATTTAGACTATTTTCACTGTTTTACAAGGCTTCAAACTATCTTTTTTTAGCAGGAGCACTGTAGCCCGTAACTGAAAATTTTAGGAGCACAGGCAGAAAATTTAGGGGCACACCATAAATCGTCCTGCAATGCAATTATTCACATTTTTGGCCATTTTAACTGTGTGTTGTCTACTTTATATTAACATTGGACTGTTTTAATTATTGAAGTATTTAGCATCACAGAGACTTGTGGTCAGTGGGATGTGAGGATTCTTCAAATAACATCTGTACA